CCATAAGAGTTACCTAAGTGAAGTTTACACTAGCTGACCCTTGTAGCTGACCTAAAGGTTATATCATCTCACAAAGACTGGGCTATGAAGTTATATCATTCCCGCTGCCAGATAAAGGAACTCTCTCGTGATTAATTCATAGGTATGCCCCGTTGTGCTCTTTGATAAATATTGAAGGATCGAAGGCTAATATAATCAACAGATTGTAGTCGATGAAGCGGTTAGATCAGACCCGATCATGCAGAAAAGTAACCACACATTCTTTCATTGCCCTCTTCTCACGTGGTCGTTGTTGACTAAGCAGTTATATATTTATATACGAGTCCTGCAGTCGAACAGAATATGAAATTATCTGATGCTTGTGATACTGCATCGGCTAGAGAAATATTTATAATTTATAGATGGATGTAAGCAATGCCGCGGGTCAACTTTTCGTCGTTTTTGCCGTTTTCGTTCCGTACAAGAGGCTATTCTTCACCTGTGTTCTGCCAGGCCGCCATATACAATTGTTAGTACAACTCCTTCGTATGATTATCTGATAATCCTGAATCGGATTATCTGAAGAGTTATTCCAATAATCGTTAATTTAACTAAGCAAATTAGCCACATCAATCATCAAACCGATACCTTGACCGCCAAGCGGGAAATAAGGGAAATGAAATCGAATCTACGGCTTTGAATAGCATCATGACTGCTCTCACAAGGCAGGGCCTCCGTTGCCGACTCCCGTGAGGTCTCGACTGACAGTTGCAAATTACAAGATCGCTCATATTTATGTCTAGATTTCGATATTCTGCGCAAAACTAATGCCATGCATTGGAAATAAGATAGTAAAGGGAAAGGAAATTCTTCTGTTGCTTTGCATACCTTTCCCAATAATAATAGGGACTCCCATTCCGAAATATATTTACGAGCGCGAGACGCCAGACAGGATTCGGGCTTAAATCCACCTCACCTGTGTAGTAATTTATTTAACCTCTCATTAACTTTGGCTTCTGGTGCACGTTTTTTTTTCGCGAGTTGTTTATATACCGGAACCAGCGTGTTAAGGCCGGAGGTTAAGCCGGGAATTGGTTATATTTCGTCCCCCACTTAAGGAAGATTCGCCCCCTTGCTTCCCTCTCCTAGAGAAACATAAATTTGAGAAACGGACCGGAAAACAGTGGTCCATTTGATTGACTGGCACTAGTTAAAATTGTCTGTGTCTGTTCGCTGTCTACTTAGAATTATGGCGATGTTATTGAGATTTAGCGTCCCGATCACCAAAATAAAAAAAGGAAAACTAATTTTGGAACAAATCAGAATCAGTCCAGTTCTTAAAATTTCATTTCAAAGCAGTGTATGACAAGCTGAGTAAAGTCAGACCACCAAATCTTACTAATGACCCATCAACGAAGACGCATTAGAGCGTTCATGATTGTTTTAACACACTGACTGTGACGGGACGTAAATGAACTGGAACAGCACGAGGTCACGAAGAGATTTCATGCAGACGACAGCTGTGGTCTTGGTCGCGTGCTGGCAGAATTGATGTTTTCGGCAAGCAATTTTACAGCCTGCCAGACCCCTCTTTGGAAATTGATTGGAAAATAAGATGAATAATTGAGAAGCAATTTGGTACGCCATGTTCAAGTCAATTGCACAAAGGTTGTTCCTCATACCTGAATCTTGATTGTACATGAAGGCATGTTAGTCTTACATCTGGTCGAGCCAGGTAAGAATTAAATAGATGGCACGGAAGATAAAACTGCCCACCCTTAAGCTAAAGAAGACAAACAGGGCGTCCCTGTAGATGAAAATTGATACTCTGTGTAGCAAGTTACGCCACTTCATGTCAGAAGCATACCGCCCAAAATAAATGATCTGAACGCGTCTTTAAGTACGACCAATGATCGCAGTTTGACAGATATATGTTCGGCGCACGTGTACCAGAGGGTATGAGGTCAGATGCAGTGGCTTTTTTGGGTTGGATACGATACTAAGACCCGAAGCCTTAAAAGGTTGCCCCTTCTTCAGCTGTTTCTTGTTCAGTTTCGTTGATACCTCTCCGTCCAACAGATAACATTATGCTTGATGGACCAAAGCTATAAAAGTAACTTTAAAAAAAGTCACAAAGTTTTTAAATCAAACACAACAAGTGCATAAATGTATGGGATCACTTTACTTTTAAGCAGGGCGACTTTACTCGTTTGCATCTCTGTAGGTTTTTAATAGGTGCGGAAGTTGATGTCAAGACAGGCTGAGCATAAATTCCTTTGGACGTAAAATCAGAAAACAAGATTAATTCAACCATATTAATTTGACGTTTCTTTGGTTCCCGGGTTTAAAACAAGTTCACAGGTGATGCGAAGATGCCGGGGCCACCGAGACAATAGAACGCGAGGCCGTGTGGATTACTCATTAAAGTGCACGTGTGCTACCCAAGACCAAGAAAACAACACTCAGCAAAGTTCATCAAAATAACAATATGGAACTTGGTTGGATAAACAAAAGTTACAATAAAGTAGTAGGATAAATTTCATGCAAAGGCCAAATTGCATTTGACTCTTTTGAATCGTTTTATAAACCCCTTTGAAAATCTGAAAGTTTAAATCTAATGATCAATAAGAAAAATGGCGGCAAAATTCGACACAATCTTTTAAAACTAGCCCTTTAAGCACTTGCTGTCTTAAAAATCCTTTATTTGCTCGGCTGAGACTGTGTATGTCTGTAAGTAGTCGTTTGACAAGTTAATACAGACGCAAACATTGTGCATAAAAAGAGAACATGCAATCTTGCTAAGTGATGTTAGTTTAGGTGTAGATTAGGAACGCGTTTTTTTCCCCTTCACCTGTGAGTCTGTTAATTGCTGGAACAAAACTAGTCAGTTTACACTCTCTGAGTAAAATACCACTGATGATGTTGGAAACGGTTTATTCTCTGTAAACTTTCGGCAACATTGCCCGTCTCTTTGCATTCTTGCCAATTTTCTTTTCGCAGCAGCACCTTTCTTAGCAAACACATTACGTCTCGTTACTGTTCCCTCCAATAAAGACGCTGTGAATGGCAGTGTGCGTGATAGTGAGCGTGTCTGTCTGTTTCTGTGTAGCGCGTGCGCTCACGTGTGTGACGCCAACGTTGTCACGGGTTACAGGGGCACAATGACAGCACTTTGGGTGTGGTCCACCGTAGGGATAAAAAAGAGTGCATTTTATCGTTCCGTCTCGCTAACTGGAGTGTCTCTAGCCGTGTGTCTGTGTGTGTTGTAGTATCATCCACCCTCCTTCTATATTCGTGTGTGAACAGTTTGCAGTTTTCAGGTGGTGGGGCTTTTCGTTTGGCTCAGTGTGCGTGCTACCGAGGGGTGAATCGGGCGGGTTGGGGTGGGGTATGGGGGGTACACATTTTAACTATAAGGTCGACTTTCGATTGGATGGAAGGGAAGGGGGTGGGTGAAGTCAAACCCAGAAACCTTGCTTTAAGATATTATCCGGAGCATCTTTTATTTTAAAATGTTTTTGAGGAATCCCATTTTAACCATACGGTTAGAAAAATCATTTTTTTGAAAACGTAATGTTCTTTACGGAGTCATCACCCATTCTATTTGGTTCACTAGCCAAATTCCAAATTATTCACCTTTCTGGCAGAGTTCAAAGGGCTCGTTGTAGAAGATGGTTAAAAAGAGCTTTTCTTTGGAAATCCGCGGAGTTCAATGGAGTGTAACACCAAACACGGTTCATATGAAAGTGGCGCGAAGATTGATTTCACACCGTGTGCCCCTTACCTGTATCAATATCACGGCTTTACTCCCACCCTCACGCCAAATTGAACACGAAATTTTTCAGAACAACGATACCAAATAAAAAGGGACACGTAAGGGCTTTAGGTGATGCCTGACGGCAAGAGGCCATAATGGCATTTAAGGTCGCTGCGGAAATGAGACAAAAATCATTAAAACTATGAAAAGCAAGTTTGGTGCTCGTCATCTCAATTTTCAAAATTTGCATTGTCACCAGTGGACGTGTCGCACTCACCTTACAGCGCCTCCCAATTATCGCCAAATATTGACAGTGCACGCCTTGAAGGGAGGGTGACCACGTCCCTCTGCTTTATTCTTGCCTATTTTTATTTTGTTAAATGCAGTCAAGTTGGCAGAAATGGCGTCCCTGTTTCGCGAATAGCTGTGATCTTTTTAAGTGATCATTTGATTTTAAGTAGGCGTTGTCAGTGTAGATTAGAGGTAACACAACTGAGTGTCCATATTAATCTAACGTGATTGGGGAACAAATTAAATCAAATGAATAATGATTCTAACAGAGGCGGATGGACGTGTTGGGAGAATAGGTTTCGGGGGTGGGGAGGGGGGGGGGGCATCGGCAGTGCAGTCCCAAAACAAAATGAGTCCCCCAAACCAGCGATATGGAAATACCGAAGGCAGGTGTTAGATCAGAACTGCTGGTAATTACGATCAAAAACTGTAACAACTTGGAATATGCAGGTTTTGAAAGAAAATGCACTTTATCTGGGATATAATGCTGACCATGTTTCTCTCGCTTGCTTCCATCCGCCTCTGGGTTACAACGAGTTATGATCTCTGTACGTTTTATGATCTTGCATGGCTTATGACGTTGATGTAGTATTATATATATATGATATATTTATATATATAGTTTTGTATTATTTCCTCTGTGTGTTGAAGACTGTCAAATCTATTTCTACCACTCGAGTGAACCACTATATCACTGTATCGATGTATAACACTCACCCATTCCAAGGTTGAATTCATTTTTTTATTTAAAATTTTGATTGTCGTAAAAGTCAATCAGTACTGCTTAGCTTGTTTGAATTCTATCAGTCTCTCTCAGTTCTGAGTTTTTCATCATCATCAACTAGCAAGGTGTTTTTCATTTCATTTTCATTTTTTTTTTCAAGTACACACGAGTCATTTAGTGTTGTTGTGCAACAAAACAGTTTCATTACTAATCCTTCATGGGTTTTTCCTATTTTTGGTTTGGTTGTAGTGTGGCTTCGAAGATAACCCTTAAAAGCAGTGCTGACTCTGAGTGCTGGAAATATCCTGGAAAAACATGGCGAACACACTACTCGTCCTCCGCGGCAAACCCAAGGTACTGTTTATTACTGGTAGCAAGCGCACTTCAATTGCAACCATGACAAATGGTGCATGAACACGAACCAATCATGACAACATTGGGCAGACAGGACAGAAACAATACACGGTGGCGGATCGAGGGACCTGAAAGCAAGCCCCAGAAAAATTAGAGTGGGGAAGGGGGGTGAAATATTAAGGATTTTATAGTCTAGACCTATTACTAGACCTTTCTTTAACCCATGGAACAGTGGATTAAATGGAGAGGTCCTTCTTTCTCATCCTGTGCACAAATACCTCACATAGAGACACGTGCAAGGGGAAGATACGCTTATTGATGGGGGCGATCCCTTTTCCTTTTTAAAAACCCTTGGTCCGCCACTGGGCCTCGCACACATGTTTTATCTCTCATCTGATTTATTTATATCAAACAACTTGCACCTTTTGATTGGAAACTAACCCTAGTATGCCGATGCACTTGGTTGAAACACAAATATTATATACAGCTACAAATAACAACAAAACGTACGACTAACTCTGCATGATGATGTAGTGGCGGGAAGCACGTGATGGTTCAGTGTTGTGACGTACTAATATTATTTGATGGCCGTAGTTAGCATCTAACACGATTTGGTGTTATTTTTGTGTTGTATTATTTTGGTGGTGGCGTGAAACTAACTCGTTATAGTTGTATATATGGCGGATGGAAGAGGGACAAATGTATAAATATATATTTTATTGATACATATTTAATCAAATGTAATATTCATGAATGTCTATCAGGTAAATATTGATTCATGTCCAATCGAGTTTTATTATATGCTAAATAGTGATAAATGTTTGATAAAGTAAAATATATTGACAGGCAGAAGTCGTTATGTTTACCAACACCCTTTACAGTTTTGATACAATGTATATATCTTAGGAAATCTGGCATATTTCATCATCAGCATAACCGATACAATGTATATATCCCTGGTTACATTGTTACTAAGGGTGCAGATAGGTGTAGGGAAATGTAATCTTGCTTCCTTTCAGTGTAATGTCAAACATTATATTACATTTGGATGTTTCTATATCTAAGAAGCATGGCCTCATGGGGTTTATTGCATATCACTTCTGGTTCTGTAATATTGTAACTAGAGCAGATGTCCATTCGCAGACATTCGTAATGGGTTTAGATGTCAGTAAATAATGTAACATGAAACCATGAATCCACCTCCTTTTCGATCAATCAAAATGTTTTGTCAATAATTATTGGTAGTACGTCCATGATGCTTATTATATCAACAGTCATATTAAAGAAGTGTTAATTTCAAGTTTTCAAAACATTTTCCCTTCGACCCATCAGTGCAAAATAATATCGATGAGTAGGTTAAAATTAAAATTAAACCACCGCACTTGTTAGCGTTTCCCCTTTGGTCTTTTATTTGCAATCAATATATTATAAACTTTAGCCACCCGTGACATGTTGGAAACCATTCAAAGTATCTCCATAGGCGAATTTTCTGCAGGGGGTCTACCAGGGGTTTCTTTCCACGGGGTAACCAAGCCACAGAAGGCACTATTGAAAATTTACAGCCCCAGTTATTTATCAGTCTATGGAACTTAGCCCTCTGTGGCAGTCTTACGCGACCAGATAAGCCGGGACAAGAGTATCAGTGAAAACGGTGAAGTAGCCAAGAGAATAGTTTTATCGTGTTCCCAGGTGCTATCTTAGCTCTCAATGGCCGCTCAATCAAAACACACAAGCCTCCGTCAAGATAACAGTATTAAGCACAATTCTGTGTGTATACACTTCAGCGACAGTGACCAAATAGAACGACCTCCTTCGGGAACGTAGATATTTCATATAAATGACGATTTGATAGACTTTCACCAGATCACCTCACTTTCGACTCCACGATTGCACGCCAGAGAATCATTTCCATTTGGGTCAACCGAGTAAATTTTTTTCAAAAACCTATCGAGTCTCGCTGACAGGTCTAAAATGTTTCTCATTTTCATAAACCAAAACTGACCACCTGAAAAGGCTAACGGACTCGACCCCCTCCCCTTTTCCTTCAAATACAGAAATAGGCCCGGTTTCAGGGACACTCTTTATTAGTACGAAAGGACCGGTTTGAGACGCCTTCAGGTAAAATGCCCCTGGTGCGTTGATTTTACATTAATGATGCAATTGATAAATGTTTTGCTAATGTAAAGTCAACAAAAGTTTTCAGCGAGAATATAAGCTTCGGCGAAAGGGGGGATAGTGGGAACCGGTGCTGCGCTTTCTTCTCGCGTGTAAACCAATACAAATAGGGATATTATCAGATGATCTGTGCGCTGCTCGCGACTTGGCCATATATCGAATGTTGTGATTATGTAAGAAGACCCAAAATGGACAAACTGAAATGCTCAACTATTTGTTTTCAAAAGGTCGAGATGCAAAAGTCTGTTCCTGAACCGGTTCTAAATTAGACACAAGCTGAATCATTCTCCCGTTAAAATAACCTTGCAAACAAAGTTTGACAACGTGGTTTGTGTAGGTTTAAATTAGAAACGGAAAAATTTAAAAGACATTGAAACATTCAGCACCCACTGATGATTGGCATACACATCTTTAAAATCATGAGAAACACATCGAGGAGATTGGCAGTAGTATTTTGTAGTTTAGAAACAACCTACTTGTTGCGCTTGAGACTTAAATCACGAACACACCTGCTTGACAGCACAGGTAAAAAAAGCAGGACTGTTTTAATAACAAACGCAAAGTGACGACGCAGGTACCAACTACGTTTAAAGGAAACGTTACACATATCCTACGCCCGTTGAAAACCACTTAGGCGTTCATAAAAATCGTACTAATGTTTCGATATTGAAAACAATTTGATGGGGTAGTGACGCTACGAACGCACGGACAAATACTTGCTACTTTGCACCACAATATATAGACTAACGACCGTATTACAGCTCTGAAGGTTATAGGCCTAAATGTATTCTGCTCGGTCAGTTACCGCCCCGAGTCCCGGACATAACTGAACTTTGCAGATCTACGAACGGCATGATGTTGAACATCCCGATAACATCTACACAAGCAAACATACGAGAATAACTGACAGGCCTTGACGCTCCACGTACGTACGGTAATTACTCGTTATGTTCACAGCAACATGCTCAACTGTCCATCCCAAAACTATCGTTCGCTTTGTTGTACCAGAAGGAAAATTCGATTTGGAATATATGCAAAGCAATTTTGGACTGCGTCGAGAAGTACTTCTTTTTAGATGAACTGTAAATGATAAACATGAAAAAAAAATTAAAATGGTGTTTGAAACCTAGGGATTGTTACCGTGATATGTACTTTCATGCAAGGCCCAAGTCCCTGCTACCTGTAAAACGTTTGATGTTATATTAGGTTGGGAAGATTGTTATCAGAGACTATTTAGTGTACAACAAATTCAATTTGCTGGAAAGTTTGCCCCCAGGTTGATCTGAGCTCATCTCAGTAAGCACAGTCCCTAAAGTAGAAACCTCCATCATGTCCCCTTGACGTCAGTGAATGCCACGTCTTCACGCTGAAAATCCACGTTCAGGATGACGTGACCACACGCCTGAAACGCAACATGGATGTCAGGCCATTGGCCCCGTCAGCCAGGTTTTGATGGCCCGTGGTTTAATCAGTAGGCTCGGGCATCTGGGTTGGTAATGGTGAACTGATATTGTTTCAGAATGCGATCAATTATGCCTTACACGCAATTCCAGAGCGCACCTGGATGGCTATGATTTAGGTGTAGAGGCAATTCCAAGCGCTTAAATCCTTCTAAATATGATCGATGGGAACTTTTAGATCGTGCTGCTCTTGGCCTAAAAGCCCTTCTTCACTACACATGCATCTGTATGGCGCGGGTGGGCTCACATGGTCACTCTAACACTGGGCAAGCCATTATTAAAACTGGACCTCAAACTCCAGTTTTTGTTTCGACTTTGTGCAGTGTTGAACTGTTGATAATACACTATGTATGAATTACCGGGAACGGAGCCAGTTTAGAGATTTCATCTAAGTATGAATAGCTGGCGGAATTTTTAGCAACCTCCCCTCATTGCGTAGGCTTCTTGTTAGCACGTTTTGAATGGGGTTTCAATTGTTAGTAACCTAGTTTTGACTTGACATACATCAAGGTCAACAGGTAGATCAGACAGTTTCCAGCTTTCCGCTTTATAACCTCGTTGTTATCTAGTTTGAAAAGACAGTAGGCTTCTGCTGCACTACCAGAATCGAAACCAGAGAAGCAAATTATCAGTGGCCTGCGTTGGGATTAAAGGTTTAAATATATTTAACTCTTTACTCTCTCTCATCATGACCCAGGAAAGCATCAATAATGACACTCGCCACCTACACCTGAAGATGTGCCATATTGGGGTTATCTATTAGACGGGGTTTAGCCTGGTTTTGCCATTCCCATCGCTTGCCTGCTTCATGCAAGAGCTCAGATCCTTATTGAAAGCTACAGCTACCCTTTCTTGCTGAACAGAAAATGAGAAAAAGCGATAGTTTTTGCACAGCACCCACAACTAATTAGCCCTTTCGACTTTTCACAACCTGAAGGTTAGACGCAAAAGCATCGGTTTTTTGTCTCGATTTTCGCGCATGAAAACTGGCAAAACATGAGCCTTTTCGCGGCAGATCAAAGGAAACCCAAACACACCTGTAAAAAACATATTTTGCCGTAACTGTCGAAGCGTCATACTGGAAACTAACATACTTTCCCATTTGTCTAGCCAATATCACCATTGATGGACGTGTAGTGGAAGCTTGGTTTGTAAAAGGAGGCAAGATCGCCCCAGCTTGTGAATCTAAAAGTATTTGTTCCACCCGTAGCTTGTTATCCCAATAGACACACAAAACATAAAATGCAAATGTGTATGCCAATATGGGTGTTTAAGTGTTTTGGATCTGTTATAGGTCTATGATCTAGCCAACGTGCTCTTGATAGGGAAACGTCTAAGCGTATGTAAAACTTGAATTCAAGCTTT